GAGAAACACGACGTCTGATTCGAGGTCCGGCGCACTGGCAGCGAGTTTCCGCAGCGTCAGCAGCCCCTGCGTGTTCGCTTTGCTCGCTGGAATGCCCAACAAATCGGCGGCGAGCTCATTCCGGTACCGCTCCAAGCGCGGCGGCTCCAGCGTGGAGTCGCTGACCGCCGAAACGATGGCGATGCACGTCTCGGGAGCTAGCACAATTGTGAGAACGAGGCTTTCGAAGGGGGAGCGGCAAACACGCACCAGTCTTCTCGATCTTCCTCGCAAACACCATCCAAAGATCCGCCTCCGCCTTGTCAGCATCTTGCAACAAATGTCGCAGAACTCGGTCGAGAATCCGACAATCACGGCTCCCATCCTTTCTCCGCGCCGACTCAATAAGATCGACCAGCAGACTCGGCAGCGCGCCCCCTCCAACGAGCGGCTTGCCGTTCGTGACTGCAGAAAGCACCCGCGCGCGACACCCATCCTCCGCCGCCGCCGTGAGGAGATACGTCGCGAACTGCTGCGCGCGCCCCCGCAAGCTCCGCCAGCGCCCCGTGGTCGAGGGCAGGGGCCGCGGCGTCGAACACGGGGCTCACGGCGGCGGGCACGGCGCGCAGGTCCTCCACGTACAGCGTGAGCGCGAGGACATGCCGCAGCGCCCAGACGTGCGTCCGCGCGGCGCGGCGGTCGGCCGCAAGGGCCTGCAGCAGCGCGGTGACGATACGTGCATAGGCCGCGTATCCCCGCGCATCATGCTCCGCAGAGCGCTTCAATGGCGAGATCGCGGACGCGGGCGGGAAGTTCGGGTGCAGGACCGCGAGGCTCGCGGCGGGCGGGTCGGCCGGGAGCGTATCGAGCATGGCATCGAGCGCCGTCTGACGGGGAAACACCTCCGCAACGACGTCGAGCGGCGCGCCTAGCGTGTCCTCCGCCAGTGCCGCGAGAACGTCCTCCGGCCTGCGCAGCCATGTCGTCAGCGTCCGTCCATCCAAAAACCTACAAAAAAGGCACGCACGTCACACATACGTCCGTGCTGCACACCATCACACCCAGCCGCCGCATCACCTCCGCGCGAACCGCCCCGCCATCGCGCGCGCCCCCGTCGCGCCACTGCGCCCACATCGCCCGCGCGGCGCCCACTGCGCGCGCATCGCGCTCCTCCGGCGGGTACGCACGTGGTAGCACGTGCGCGAGCACGTACACCGCGGGGAGCAGCGCCTCCGCGTCCACCGCGTCCTGCACGCCCCCGAGCAGCGCGACGTCGTCGTCGAACGCGCGCAGCGGCATCCGGCTCTCGCCCTCATCCCCGCCCCCGTCCACCAGCGCCGCCTCGACGCGCGTGGCGAACGCGATGACGACGCGGGAGAGCGCGGCGCGCCATGCGGCGGGCGAGAGGAAGAGCTCAGCGCGCTGGAGGACCTGCGCGAGGACGGGCACGGACACGAGCGGCGCGCCGGCGAACAGCGCGTCGAGAGGGCCCGCAGCTGTAGACGCGTTCCCGCCCTCCGCAACGTCTACGGCACGCAGGCCCTCGAGTGCGCGCGCCGCGTCGGGCGCCACGAGCGCCCCCAGCGCGTCTGTCGCAGCTTCAGGGTGGGCCGCGATGTCCGTCAGCAGCGCGCGGAACAGCGCCTGGCGGTGCGGCGCGCGGTGCGTCAGGTACGCAAGGAGCAGTGAGGGCGTTGTGAGGAGGAGTGCGTACGCCCGCCGCGCGAGCAGAGCGTCCAGGGCCTGTGTGGTCGGTCGTCAGCGTTCATTCGGCTTCCGTATTACAATGAATGAAAAGGCAGACAGGCGCTCGGGTCCTCGCAACCAAGAACACGGAAGCAGAGGAAAAACGAAGAACACCAACTCACCTCTGCAAACTCCGTATCGCGGAATACCCGCGGCCCAAAAGTCGCGAGCACGCGAACGAGGAACTGCGCGTTCTCCGTGCGCACCGCGTCGCGCAGGACGTCCGCCATGAGCGTGCGGCCCGCGGCGCGGATGGCCGTCTCCGTCGCGCGCTTCTTCGCGTCGGCGTCGGGGGGTGTGGGCGTCCTTGTGTTAGCGCCTGCATCTACAGCTGCTGCGTCTACTACGGCCGCCCTTCCATCCATCGGCGCGGCGTCCACAGTACCCTTCCCCTCATCATCCTCCCCAACCAGCGCCTCGAGCACCGCACACACGAGCCCCGCGTCCGCATCCGCGCCGCCCGTGCGCCGCACGCATGCGCCGAGCGCGTCGAGCCCCGCCGCGAGCAGATCTGCATGAGGAAGGGATGTTAGTTGGTCTTTGGGTCGCGGGGGGTTTAGGATAGGATAGGGTGGAGAGGAGATGTGTAAATTAAGATAGAGGAACACGGGTCATTGCCTCGGTCGGAATAACGAGGGAATAGAAGGGACGCATCCCGCCAGCGACCAAAAAGCACAAAAGCGAGAGGCAGGAAAGCACAAGAAAGCAGAAGAAGAAACACGCACCACCCCCAACGCCCCCCGCGCCCTCCAGCGCGCGCACCAGCAGCCCCGCCGCGCGCCGCGCCTCCACGTGCAGCATCCTTTCCCGCTTCTTCTCTTTCCCACCCGACACGCCCCCATTCCCATTCGCGTCTACACCCGAACCCGACACCGCCAACGCCCCCCACACCCTCCGCACCTCGCGCGCGAACAGCGCCGCCCCCGGGTCCTCTCCTCCTTCTCTTGCTCTCGCTTCCCCCCTCGCCATTCCCTTCCCCCTCGCCATTCCCTTCCCCCTCACCATCGACAGAAGCCGGCACACCGAAAATTCCCGCCCCACCCGCAGCGCCCCTCGCGCGCCTCACCACAAATACCGCGCACTCGAGCAGTGCGCCGATAAACGCGGCCCCCGCGCGCGCACGCGCGGGCGGGAGTGCGGTCGTCAGGGAAGGCGCGGGGGTGGGCTTCTCGTTCGTGGTGGTGTGCGTGGTCTCGTCCGCGGTTGCGTCCGAGGGAGCGTCGGCGGTTGCGTCAGCAGCAGGCTCGGTAGCTGAGGCGGGGGCGGGAGCTAAAGCGGCAGCGGGCGGGCCGCCGAGCGCGGCCCAGAAGGCGTCGAAGAGGGTGTCGATGGGGGCGAGGATCTGGCGGAGGGTGTTAGTGTCATTTATTTTGTTTTAGTGGAGGAAGATTGGGGGTAATGAGGGAAAGAACGGGAACGAAAGAGCCAACGGGTGGGAACGGAAGAAGAAAGGATTGGGTGGGGGTAATAAGACAGGCGGAGGAGGAAGCGCGTTGTAATGGACAGACACAGCGAAAGGAGGATGGAAAGAAGGGGGGAATGTGCGGACAAAGAAACAAGGCCCAAAAAAAACGCCTTACGCACCTCACTCGGCACCGTCGACAACACGACGACCACAGTCGGGTACGCCGCGACCGGCGCGCCGCCACACGCGCGCGCCAGGAACGCGCCCCGGAACTCGTCGTACGCGGTCGGCGCTTGCGCCCATGCCTCCGGGTGGTCTGTGCGTGTTAGTAAGCAAGTATTTACTTCCAAGGAAGGCAGAATGATAGAAGAGGAGGATCGACGCACCCCTCAAAAACCCCAGCAAGCCGGCCCACGTAGCGCCCTGCACGGCACCGTCGGGCTCGACCCACGCGGCGCGGAGGATGGCGCGCGCGAGGGTGCGCACGAGCGCCGGGGGGAGGGGCCGCCGCGCGAGGAGGGCGGGGAGCGCGGCCCAGGCGGCGCGTCGGAGTGCGGGCTGCGCGTGGCCGAAGCCTTCGGTGTATTCGTCGGGTGGGTGGTTGGGTTCATCGTCGTCCTCGGTAGGTGCGTCCTCAAGCGAGTCGTGGAGGAAGGGCGGGACGGCGGCGTGGTGGAGCGCGGACCAGAGCGCGGGGGACGCGAGGAAGGATGGGAGGGGGGTTGTGGTGGTTTCTGGGGAAAATGAGGACAAGACTAGATGGAATGCACGCCGACTCACCTAGCAAATACTTCAATGCACCGAATGCAGCAATACGCAAACGGGCGCGGCGGTCCGTCTCGCTCTCGTCTTGCTCGTCGGCCTTGGTGCGCGCGGGGGCGGCCTCGACTACTCCCGTGGGGCGTTTCACGGCTGACGGTGGGGGAGGAACAACTGGCGGCGGCGGATTCAGCTCCGTGTACAGCGCGTCGGGGTGCATGAGCGTGCGCTCGACGAACGCAAGCAGCGCCGGCGCGGGTGCACGGGCCGCGGACGCAATCGCCGCGACGGCGCGGTCGACGTCGTGGGCGGCGAGGGCCCACGCACCTGCGGCGTTGTCCGGCGCATCGTCGGCAAGCGGGCCGGCGAGCAGCGGGGCGCGCAGGAGCGCGGCGTGCACGGTGGCGGTGAGCAGGCGGATGCGGCGGGATGGGTGCAGCAGGTGCGCCGCGAGGTAGTGCATCCACACCGGCAGCATCTCCAGCAGCGTGTACACCTCGTCCCCCTCCCCCTCCCCGTCCCCACACCGCTCCACCCACCCGCTCAGCAGCTCCTCTAGCGCCCGCACCTTGGTCACCGGTGCCTTCTTCCCCAGGCTCCGGAGCACCACGAGCAATGCAGGCGGAAGTCTATGCGCCAGCCCAGTAGTTTCCAGTGGATCCGCCAGCGCCGCCGAGGGCTTCACCGGGGCGATGTACACCTTTTGCCGCGGCGGGTCAGATCTGTGCTTCTTTCCCTTCTTTTCACGCGGGATCTCTGGCTCGACGGGCCCCGCCGCCTTGCGCGCGTGTTTCTTCCTGGTCCCCGACGATGCGGACGATTTCGGCGGCATCGTGGTCAGCGGTGAGGGAAAGAGTCAGATAATCACGTGATAGCGCAACCGAACGTCACTTTCTCGCTTTGACCGTCATCTCGGAAGAAGTGTGATTTGGGTTGATTTAGGTGGGCTTCAAAGTCAGGGGATGGGGGTGAATTATAGCAGAAGACCGCGTTGAATTTCAATTGCAGTTTACAGTGAGCTCGCGGATTTAGAATCCTTGTCTTTCTTGATCCTGTTCGGATCTGGAACAAGATTCCTGCCATGTATCGCAAAATCCAGAACGCAAAGCAAGACCTGATAGCACAACAGGATAGTGCATCTGCTTCAAATAGATCAGGAAATTGGCGCGTTGCATAATAAACAGAAGATCCCCGTTCGAGTCGGGGTCAGGTCATCCCTCTCCACGTTCTCCTTTTTTCATTTGCGCATCGTTATTCCAGCCTCGTTCGCTCAAAGCCCACATCTCCAGCTATATCCTCTCTTGAGCCCTCTTTTTAAATTTATTGGGTGACTTCCCATAAGCTTAGAAAAAGGTGTCCGATTATCTGAGGTTACTTGAGGGGTGCCAAATGATGTCGGCATGTCTGTTTATTCGGAAAATATAATGTCTTTGGGTTCCCGCAAGGGATACATTTGAATAAAGTGTAGCGGTGTAATTTCCCCCCTCGGTGTTCGGACCGAGACTGTTGACATTGTTGATAAACAAACTACACCAACACGTCTGCAACGCGTCTGAGCTTCCAACACGCGTCGTTCTTGCCTGCAGCCCCGCACAATATGTTCCTTTGGAGGATGTTCATGGAGTGAAATGCCACTGAAATCTGCACACGCCAATGAGAAGTCGTGGATAATTGTCAGCGCCTACTGATTATGCTGTCAAAAGGCCCGAGGGCGTCAGGTCGAGACAGACATCGCCGCAGAGGAGGAAACGAGGGGTGCAAATCAGGGAGAAAGAGGTTGTCGAGTGGCAAGGCTCTAAAGCCTCTGACTAACACAGCCAAATACCCCTTGCCCTCCTACAGCGGCTGAAGGGACCGTGACTTATGTGACATGCAACCGAACCAGGTGAAATGGCTGGCGGAAGGAGTCCGAATCTGTTTATTCAAGCAAGAATAAATCTGGAGAGGGGGGGGGGGACCCCTCTCCAGATTTAAAAGAAAATAAAGTCTGAAGAGGCCCAAGGTCGCATCAAATTGAGATCTCAGTCCGATGGGGTCCTGACAGCTGCCTCGGCATCCCGGCGAAACAAATCCAGATAATCGGACGCCTTTTTCTAAGCTTATGGGAAGTCACCCATTCACAGCCTACGGCAGGGGAATCACTGCCACCAGAAATTAAACATCAACTGAACCTCGAAGTTGAACACGACCCCAACTTCTCCAAACATCACAAATCTCCCCCCGTCATAATTAAGGCCTGATAGCACAGTTGGTTAGTGCATCTGCTTCAGTTTGTCGGAGCAGTCTCGAAATTGTTTAGGCAGGGGAGCTCCGTTCGATTCGGGGTCAGGTCTGTGAGCAATCGTCGTATTTTTTAGGAATCCGTGCGCTCTCGTCGAAGCCTCCCTCACTCATAATATTAATCTACCTACGACGCCCCAATGTTATCTACCCTTCATTCAAGCCAACACAATCGACAATCAAGCATCCCAGTTTCAACGTTCCAAGTTGCATTTTAGATCTCCACCAAGATTTATTTACGTTTAAGCTAATCCAAGATGCAGACAGTATAGTCGAGGCCTGATAGCATAACTGGTAGTGCTCCTGCTACACATAGGCGTGGATAATCCTTGTTTCTGCAGGAGGTCCCTGTTCGATCCAGGGTCAGGTCTATATCCCTTTTTTTCTCGGATTTTGGGCACCCAACACACCCCTACCACCTCCAATTCTTCTAAAATAAACCGAATGTGTTTTTACTTCTGTCTTCAAGCCAACCCAGATCCAAACAGCTCAGCGTCATCTCAGGAATTAGCCCGCGCGTCGCAAGTCGCAAGATCATCCGACTCTGACATCATAACCTTCGAATTCGTGTGGCAACGGAATGAGCGAGGAAATCTGAGCTTCCACGGCTGCATTCTTGGGATCTCGCGTCATTTTTCAGTGCCATTCTTCTATTTCTCGAGGCAGTTCTGCATTCTCCATGTTCAAAAACACGGCTTGCCGTTGATCGCCGCGCGTGATCCGCTGGGGTCGGCAAACAACGGCTTGTCTCCTGCACTCATCCACCCCGGCCTCCAGGCCCCATCGCTCACTGTGACAAGGCTACGTTCAGCATTCACAGACACGCGTTACTTGACCGTCTCCCCGCTTCTTCCTCAAGTCCCTGATGCCAACAGACGGATCTGCAACCCGCAGAAAACTATATATACGAGCACTTCATCGTCTCAACTTGTCCCCGACTTCTTATACGGGAATCAATCAACACGCTCGAGATAATCTGCAACGCCTTGCAACTACCTGCCACAGGAGGCGTTCCATCTAGCATTCACGAACACGCATTACTTGACTGTCTCCCGCTTCTCCCTCAAGTCCCTGATGCCAACAGACGGATCTGCAACGCGCAGAAAACTATACATACGAGCACTTCATCGTCCCAACTTGTCCCCGAATTCTTATACGGGAATCAATCAACGCGCTCGGGATAATCTGCAACGTTTTTGAAACTATCTGCCAACGGAGGCGTTCCATCTTCGTTGTACAGCTATTTGCATCTTTCAATGATGATTCGCGAGTGAGTGACCGAGTTTTAATCGCGATTTTATCTTGCAAGGCTGGTTAGATACTGATACCAAGCGTGGAGATGTGACACTGACCGGGGCAAATAATGACCTGTGCAAATTTGTAATGGGCAGGGATATCAACATACCGTCGTGGTAAAAGACCCCTATTTTTACCTGAATTAATTTCACCGACGGTACTTTAGATAGATCCAACTGGGCATGTGCTGATAGATGATGCTGGAGCCATACAAAATCTAACGCCTCCTAGACTTCTCCCGCAGATGGAATCCTCGATGAGTTTTGTTCTTCGCACCTCGCCGTGGTGGAGACCATAAATACCATCCCCATCTCGCACTGTGCGAGAAACACACTCATCCCCAGCACTCATCATGGCACCATCTAGCGCCCCCGCTCCTGACGGTAGCCTTGGCCTCGCCGAAATAGCTCTCGTCCTCGCCACCTTCCTGTATGACATCGAGACGCTCCAAACATACAATTACTATCGTGAATATCCGAAGGACAGTCGAGGGTTGAAGACATTGGTGAGTCCCCGCGGTGGCGTGGTAATTGCATGCCTGACCGGATCCATAGGTGGCAGTCATTTGGTGGGTCGTGTGTGATCCCTCATACCGTTTCTGATATATCGACCTGACCGCAGGCTCCTTGAGCTCGCACATATGATTTGCGCCTGCCACGCGGTACGTCAAGGCACTCTGGTTCTATTTTCAAGTAACGATTTGGTGTACTTCAGACTTATTCTATAACGTTCTATGGTCAACCAGAACACATTCTTAATCCCCCGCTCTCGCTTGTGTTTGCAATCATTACCCAGGCCGCCATATACTTCATTGTGCAGGTAGGTGTCTTTATAAGTACTAGTGTCACATCACGATCCAGATTTCGATTTTTTCAGACATTTTTTTCCTTTCGGGCTCGAATGCTGTCCAAGCGATGGTCCATGGCGATTCTTGGCTGTATTTTGAACACTCTGCGTTTGCTTTTCAACGTCGGGCTCTTCGTGGAGTTATGGAAACGCCCGGAGTGGGCTTTCCTGGTGACAGACTTGAGGTGGATAATGATTACTGTGTCCTCCATCGGTCCTTCTGTCGATATCCTCATCGCAACCTCACTTTGCTACTACCTTTGGCACTATAAAAACTCCGAGTTCAAGCAGTGGGTTTCCCAAGCAGCGGATTGATAAAAAGCATGATATATTATCGACAGGACTAGCAGGATGGTGGACACGCTAATCATCTGGACTGTCGGTAAGCTGTTACTGATTCTATTCCATAACTCTTTGTGATATTTGAAGAAACAACCGCTATTACAACGTGAACATGCCGCCATCCGTCAAGTTTCTACTGATTTCCTTCCAGGCTATCGGGCGCCTTACAGCTGATTCTTGTGAGTCTCTACCAATCTGTGAAAACCTTCCAGCTGCACAATATCTAGTTCCTCACACGAAATGACTTGACCTGGCTTATCTTCTGGGTGGTCCAAGCAAAATGTAAGATCCTCTTCCACATATTTTCCCTCATTAAAACTTGCCAAACAGTGTTTGCCAACTCTATGCTGGCATCGTAAGCCACACTTGAACCAGTTTGATCGAATCATTTTGAAATTCTCCGAAGGCTGAATGGCCGAAACCGCTTCCGCTCCACTCCCGACAGGCCGCGACCCTTCGACTCAATGGTCCCAGCAAGAGATACGGTGCGACACAGTTCACTGGCTACCGGCACCGCCACTAAACAGTATAATGACAAATAGAGTCTGATAGTTCGCATACAGCAAATGACCACAACAGAAAACAGAAATGATGATGTCTGTGCACCCAAGGTACGTCATTCACTCAACTACGACGCGGCGGTTCCCATCTAAAGGCGAATTTAGGGCCATCTGTCGAAGGAGGAAACAATCAGAACGGGTCCTACATAGACCCGAAAGGAATTTAAAACCGAATCAATGCGTGTAATTACTGTGCTTATCGGTGCCATATTTGAATAGCCATTTCTGTTGAATCGTAGTACAGAGCCTTGAGTGAAAATCAGTGTCCCGAGTAAATTCGGTCCTGGTTGATCGCCATCGAATCGTGTTCTGATTGTCGAGCACAGCCATCCGAGTCCATCCGAGTCTGCTCTGCTAATGATGTGGGCATCACGCAGGCTGAAATTGAAAGCCTGTGCCGCCTGTCTGTCCTGGATACTGTCCATTTTTGTTGGTATGTCAGGGTTGGACTACAGTGAGGTACGAGCTTCGTGTTGAAGTGTCTGTCTACGAGAAACTAGTGCTGGACACAGCATCGACCTTACCTCGCTTTCGTTGGCTGTATCGCGCTTCGAAATAGCAGGCACTCCGGACAGCCGCTGGAACCATCTACTGCGCCCGGAACGCCTCCGCGAACTGAGTGTAACATCTGGTCTCGGTGACGACCTAGTCGCATTCCCGTCTTTCCCCAACGTACGTAAACTATCAGCAGTATGGACAGATGCTTAGGGCGCAAAGCCTTGTGACGCGGACCGGGCACTGCGGATATTTTCCAAATTTCCCGCCCTCGAGGCTATCGCGCTCTGGCAAGGCGTACCTCAGGTTGAACCCAAACTGCGGGCCACCGATCTTTTCCCGTTCCTCACAGAATACTCTGGCCCCTCCCACACCCTACGTTTTTTCCTCGCGCTTTCCACCCTCGTCCGCCTCGAAGTCCATCGTTGTCGTCCGAACACATTCCTGGTGCAGCTGGAAGGTGTTTACCTGTACGACAAGCCCACTGGTTCGGGCGGGATTCCGTAAATCCTGCATGAGGCTGCATCGGCCGATTCAGTCTAGCGCCGCAGTGAAACATAGCCTAGAAAAAAGCATATGCTGTACCGCAGCTTCAGGACTGTCAAGACACCACATCCCATGGTCTGCGTCGAGGAATGAGTGCGTCAATACAAAGTTGAACAGGGGCATCGGCCATCACCCAAAAGAGGATCAAGTCAAAACACGGTTCAACCAAGGTTCAACTTCTGTTTTGTGATAAGCATCGGGGCGAGCCATCCACCGTTATAAAGACCTCAAGTCCTTCAAAATTTTAAATCCACGAAAGCCGGAGCTCAGCGCTCATCTTGACGCATTCGTCGATTTTTCATTATGTTGATTGTTTGAAATACGATAAGCCCTACCGTGGGAAACAGGGTGACGCCCAGAGTCACGCTCGTCTTTATCTTCTAACACATTGACTTGCGCGTTTCTTGTGCCTCTGCCGTCCATCTCTCTCTCCAAAACTCCGGAAACCGATCCCTTCTCTGATATCCACCTATTTCACGCGTTCTGTTGCGTCCTCTTTCTGTTCAATGGCCCTAGCGCGTCTCGCCTCGATTCCTCTCGAACTCCAGTTTTTAACGTGTAAGTCGCGTCTAATTTGCCTTCCCGACATTGCATCCAATGGCGACCCTTAGCTAAAGAGCTTGGCCCATCCGACCTCCTTTCCCTCAGCCACGTCTCAAAGTACTGGCGTACCTTTGTGCTGAGTGACAAGCGATGGGCAGAATGGTGTAATGTGCGTCGTTCAGCGGGTATCGCGCGCGTGGTTTCACCGACTCTGCTTCTTAGCTGATAATCTCGTCCTCTGGCGAAACCCTCGAAGAATGCCTGGCGCGCCTTAATGTCCTCGATTTGTTCGCGAAACGGTACGAGGCCCGCTCCGTGGGTTGGTTTGCCGTGCCTCACGCCTTCCTAGGACACTGGTCTACGTGTGCCTCAGTGATTCGTGCACGGCATGCGACGCGTACGCGCCGCAGCTCTTCCTTCCGTACATGAAGGTAAGCGCCGCCGTACCGGTGTCTGTGTGGTGATTGATATATACGGTGCAGCGCGTCTGTGACGCCTGTCTCCCCCACGACGAGTTCTCTGTCATGCGGGTCTCCGATGCGCTCGCGAAGTACGATCTGAAGGAGCGCGATCTGTCCGGCCTGCTTACCCTGTGAGTATCCCTGCACTTGTTTATGCGCCCCCTGACGTTGTCTCGACAAAGGGAGTGGCTCGACCCTAAGCGTAAATCCAAGCGCCCCGCCAAGCTTATCAGCGGGGCGGTCGCGAAACAGATGTACGCTCCTTTCTAATCTTTAACCCAG